TGCTAATTAGAAACTGGAAAAGTTTCACAAAAGTTCTTGACTCCCAAAGCCAGCACTGTCATCAACAGTGAGGTGAAATGAAAAATTGCAGTTCTGTGGGGAGGTGAGATCAGAGTCACAGAGCTTTATCTCTGGCTTGAGCTGCCTCCCTGTCCTACAGTGCTGGATATTATGAAGTCAGGATCTGCACACTGAGTAGAAGACCCTGCAGAGGGATGGAGTCAGGTGAGTGTTTCGTCTTTTGTCTGAACTGAAGACCACACAAGGGAGTCTGAGTAAGTGCTCATGTCAGCAAATGTATTCTGTGTAGAATTGTGTTTAGTGAAAAGGCAAACAAGAGAGCAAGTATTTCTTTGCTAAGAAATGATCTAGGAAGAGGAAACGGTCTTTGATTTTCCTCATTGTTGTGAGCAATCTCTCCGATAATGACATCATTTCTAATGTGCTTAGGGATTGTAGGGATGCCTTCAAGCTCATAATTAACTTACTTTCTACAATCAGAGAACAATTCTTCAGTGGTATTATTAGATTTGTGTTTACAGTAGCTTCAGGCCTGTAATAAAGATTAGAAAGAAGCTGCAAATATCACAAGACCCAGGGGGGTAGGGGCCAGAATCTCTGTTTCTGTCATAAATTAAAAAAAAATAGGCACCAAAACTTTATGGTTTACTTGCAGACAGCACTGAGTCTGTGTTAAAATGTCAGCTGTGCAGTCACAATGGTGAGTGTTTTCTCTCTGAACTTACCAATGGCTCTCTGAACTGAAAGGTAACACTGACTGTGAGTGATGGTCTGCAGTGCCCATGCCTGTGTGCATATCCTGAATTTCCTGTTTAGAACTGCTCCAAAGTCAATCCCAGCCTGTTTGTGTGCATATGTGCATGTGTGTAGTATCACGTGTGATATGCTTGTCAGAGTGTACATGCACTTGTGTGAGCATATGTGCGTTTTCCAGAGGTCAACCTTGAGCGTCTTCCCCAGGAGCCTGTACTCTTGTCTTTCAGACAGGGTCCCTCACTGGGACTTGGACTCACCAGTTTTCAGTGAGGCTGGCTGACCAGTGAGCCCCAGGGATCCTTCTCTACCAGCTTCTCCAGGACTTGTGTTACAAATGCACACACTGCACACAGACTTTATGTGAGGTCCAGGATCTGATGCAGGCCTTTATGCTTTCATGGCAGACACTTTAGTGACTGTCCACATCTCCAATCCATGACACATTTTCCGTTTCTTTCATGGTGCTGTGGCTGGAACACCCTGTCCTGGATATGGTAAGGTTTCTACCATGAGCTCCGTGCCCAGCCCAGTATTTGCATTCCTTTTTATCCAGTGCACAAGGCTTCATGTCCTTCATATCTCCAGATTCTGTTTCCATATCCCTCGTGCATTGATGTGTCTTTCATTACCAATAATTTTATTTCACTGCACCCACGTGGGCCACATCCAAGACTCTGAATGCTCTCCTCTGCTCCTTAGCAGCTTATGAACCTAGAAAGTCATTTATCCTGTGTGTTTCATATTGTTCTCTAGACAGTGAAGATTCTTCTGCTGACCAAAGCAAAGTTATGAAAACAAAGAAGATATTAACTCCCCATGATTTTAATAATGATGTACTAATTTTAAGTGGTACACGTGAACTTACCCCCCACAATTCTCTTAACAGAAGAAAACTTCAGGTACATATTTACCAGTGAGAATATTGGATTAATGTTAATGTGATAAGTGGGGCCACACTGTCCATTCCTTTGCACAATCCTAAAGACAGGTCGGTCCCTATGAAGTGGTGTCGTGATTTCTCAGGATTTATGCATAGAATGATCCACATGTTTCAGACTGTAAAAGGAATCCTGGGTATTTCCTCTCCTCATCACCTTATCACTTCCTTCAGCACACTGACTGCTGCTGGGGACTCTGCACTCAACTCTGTCATGTAGACACAATCATGTTTTAGTCACCATCTTGTCTTGAAGGCCATGACAGACCTTTAGTTAGAGCATCTTGTCACATATTGTAAGCATACTTCTTTCATGATCAGAGTGCTGGTGGGGTTGGACCATGGGTATCAGCTTCTTGTGAATGTGTCCAAACATCTCAGCAGGATCACGAACTCCATATTAGAATTAAAAAAATATTTTATTATTTTTATTTTTATGTGTATTAGTGTATTGTCTGAATTTATGTAAGTGCACCCATATCATGCAATGCCCGTGGAGGTCAGATGAGGTCATTGAATTCTCCTAGAATGGGACTTAAGGATGGTTGTTAGCCACCATGTGGGTGATGGCAGTCAAACCTGGGTCCTTTGTAAGAGCAGTCGATGCTCTTAACTGCTGAGCCATCTCTCCAGCCCCTACATTAGAATAATTTAAATTTACCAATACACTGTGTTTTCAAGTGTCATCTTTTGTACCCTGATTATTTTCACCAGTGTTATGTACCTAACTGCATAGAGCAAAAAAACAAAAACAAAAAAAAACCAGGAATTTTTAAAAAATCAGGATCTCTACCACTGAATGATAAGCAAAATAACATTTCCTATTATTCATTCTCATGAGATGCTTCATGCTGGATTTACCATCTGGGCTGGTAACTTCCCAATAGCTCTGAACTGACACTAGCAGCAGCACAAACAAACTCTTAACAGCCTTATTTTGTGACACTCTTCCTGGGATGATGTGTATACAAATGTCTGGTCACACCACATTAGGAACCAAAGTAAGGACACAATCATATTCCAGTTAAAGAATTAATTTTAGTGGCATTCTCACAGGAAAATATGTGAGTGGTTACTCACAGGAGAAGAAATAATTCCAAGATAGCCGCATCACCAAAGTCCACCCCAGCATGGATCACAGCTCATGAAAACAGAGCACACTGTCCAACCTGTACCCAGCTCAACAGATTGAAGTGTCTTTTCCAGGTACCTCAGTGGGTCTGAGCCTCTTCCAGGCAACTTGGCCAGTCTCTGCTTCTTGCAGACATGTTGGTTGGTCATCTAGACTGGTCTGATTGTGATTCTCAGCTGTCCTTAGGGCATATATATGATAGGTGAGGGCCTAGTGATCCTGGTCAATTGCAGGTACTAACAGAAGCTATTTAGTTGTTTACTTTCTGAGCATAAGGAGATTTCCTGTGGATGCAGTGATTCAACTCTTCTTAGAACGTCCTGCAGCATCAGCTTCCCTTATAGCGTCCTGTAGTTTCATGTCCCTTAGAACATTTTGTAGTTTCACCTGTCTTTTAACATTCTGTGTTTTAACCAACTTCCCTCCAAAAAGAACATTTTATCTTGGGGGGAATTACAAGTCTTTTCCCAACTTTCTCTCTCTCTCTCTCTCTCTCTCTCTCTCTCTCTCTCTCTATGCTGTGAAAGTGGGCTTTTGTACACTGCTGGGAGGAGTGCAAACTGATGCAGCCCCAATGGAAGTTAGTGTGGAGACTCCTCAAAACTCTAGAAGTAGAACTACCTTATAACCCAATATAGTGTGTCACTGATCTTTAATACTTAACATGACATATGACATCAGTACAACTTAAATTTATTATAAAATTTTAGATCCTTCCTTCCCTTCCTTCCTTCCCTCCTTCCTTCTTTCCTTCCTTCTCTCTCTCTCTCTTTTCCCTTTGCCTATATGTCCTTTTATATAGGAAGTTTTATTGTGCTATTCAATGGAATTTCACAAAATGTAAACACTTCAGCATTCAATACACTGATCACAACCGAGGATACTGTCAACCTCTCACAAGACCCCTCACCCCACCCTGCTTTATAGCACTTCTAAAATTAGAGTTCTTCTTTAATAACCGGGGTATGGAAATTGTTGCGACATGTACGTGTTCCTATTTTATCAGCTGAGAGATTATATCATTTGTACCTGTTTTGTAGTTTATATGAATAGGAAGTCTGTTGTGCTGTTTTCCAACCCGTAAGATTTCCCTGAGTGCTTTTTCTTCAGTAGCGTGAGTATATAGAATTAATTTTGTAAATATCAAACAGCTATTGGGCACTCTGAATGAGCATGCGTGCCTTCCTGTGTGAGTCTAGGGTGATTGATATCCCTAGTCTTTCTGCCATTTTCTTGACTTTTACTTTTCACGCTATGAGAACAAGTAGTGGTTTTATAAGGACCTTGATATTCCTCCATATTTATTATCATCAAAAGTCTTTCTTCCTGTAATGTCTGTTGGAGTACATTACCTGTTTTTATTCTTTTATGAATTCTGTAATCATTTCACCCAGGATACCACCTGTCACATGGTTGTGTGTCAGAAACTGTGTGTGTGTATCACAATGTGTGTATGTGTGAGAATGTGTGCATGATTGTGACTGTGTGCCTGTGTTTGTGTGACTGTGTCTGTATGTGTTTGTATGTGTGAGAGAGTGTGTATGTGCATATGTGTATATGTGTAACTGTGAGTGTATGTGTGACATTTGAAGATAACTGCCATTTAATTTCCTGTGAATTCATTTCGTGCTTCAACCATACTTTAATGTGCTCTGTGCTATGTTACTAAACATTTATTATAAGAGAACACAGAAACAGTCCCTTCATTATCACAAAATTCACACTACTTCCTCTCAAATCTATAGCAGAATCAGATTCAGAATTGGAGGGTTTTATACTGTGGCTAGTGATTGAATATGTTTCTAACAAATGTCAGATAATTCTGGAAATTCTGGGTGATATCTTTCTAACAACTCTCTCTTTTCAAACCTTGTCCACTTTAACACTGTGCCATTCCCAAAACTTAATTGTCTATTAAATGTGCTCTGAATTCTACTAGTTAGGTATGAAAGACAGGGGCTTTAGCACTTTGTCTTAAGACAATTTTTTGATACAGGATGTTGCTCTGTTGCACAGGTCCATGCTGAAATCTTGAGCTCAAGACCATCTCCTGACTGAGGTCCCCATGTAATGTGCAGGATACCTTATGTGCACAGCAAGTTATTAATGACATATTCTTCCCTAAAAGATTGATGTCATAATTTAATGGAAAATATGAATGACAGTGTGGACTCCAGGAATTTGGCAATAGGAATAATAATCCTATCTCAGAGCACAGTTGGAGTTCTGGGAAATTTGTCTCTTCTTTCTTATTACGTTATCCGTTGCTACAGTGAATGCACATTAAAGCCCACAGACTGGATTCTCACACACCTGATCATAGCCAACTCCTTGACCATTCTGTCTGGAGGAATTCCGCATACAATGGCACTCTTTAAGTTGAAGCAGTTCTTCAATAATTTTGAATGCAAACTGATTTTATATGTTCACAGACTGGGTCGATGTGTGTCTGTTGGCACCACCTGCCTCTTGAGTGTGTTCCAGGCCACCATCATCAGCCCAAGGAACTCCTGTTGTAAGAATCTAAAAGCTAAAGTGCCAAAGTACACTGGCTTATGCATTTTCTTTTGCTGGGTCCTGTACATGGTGGTAAATTCTATTTTCCCTGTGTATCTATATAGCAAATTAAACAGGAACAATCTGACAATAGAGTCAGTGTTTCACCACTGTGGTATTATAGATCGTAGTGAAATAACAGGGTCGCTGTATACAGCTTTTATAGTAATCCCTGAAGTTTTGTTTTCTTTCCTCATGGCCTGGTCCAGCAGCTCCATGGTTCTCTTTCTGCACAGGCACAAAGAGCAAACGAAACACATCCACAGCTCTAATGTTTCCCACAGAAAGTCCCCTGAGTCCAGAGCTACCCAGAACATCCTGGCCCTGGTGTCCACATTTCTAACATTTTATACCCTCTCTTCTGTCTTACAAGGATTCATTGCTCTCTTATCTGATCCAAGCTGGTGGCTAGTGAACATCCCAGCCATCATTTCACTTTGTTTTCCCACTTTGAGCCCTTTTATCGTGAGTCGTGCGTCCACTGTGCCCAAGTTCTGCTTCTCCTGGATGAGGAATTGAAAGTTTCATGAGCTTATCATAGGTATTTAAAATTTAGGTAACTCAGGTCCTTTGAAATATCAATATAAAAATCACTTGTCCTAATTAGATAAAGGCCATATGTGTTTTGAGTTTCATCTTTCTGAATGTGATGAAATAGGATCATCTCGGAGGTGAACAGAGCAGGTAGCTCTATGTTGAGTGGAGATGCCCTGATGGCAGAAATATGAAAGCATGTTGCTGAGGCAGACTGAACAGGTTTGTTTCAGCTCTTCGAAGTAAGTTTGCATGGAAGCCTTATCATGTAGCCTCCACACTGGAAATCTTGCTGAGAAGCAGACACAAAGAACGAGTGGTGGGTGTTGCTGAGAAAGAGTGCTTGGGAATTTAACCTGTATGTTTATGTCTTATACACAGATGATGTTCTGAACTCTCTTTCCTATATTGGCGTGAACAAGGCTTTTGAATTCAGGGACAGGGTCAAGTTCTGGAATAAAGAATAGAATGGTTCCTGCAGAAGAACAATGTGACTCTCTGGAGGTGTAGGTAGCACGGGATTGCTGGAGCTCTGGTGGTTTGTTTATTTCCTTTTCAAGCAGATTCTCACAATGTGTCCCAGCTGGGCTGGAACTCACTATGCAGAACACACTGGCCTTGAACTCAGAGAGATCTGCCTGTGGGTGTTTGTCACCTCGCCCAGCAAGCACATCTCTCTTTCAGACTGATTGACTCACTGGCTGTGGTGGTGCACACCAGCAGGATATGATGAAATGGTAGAGGCAGGACGATCACAGGTCAAGGCCAGCCTGGGCTATAGCTTTTCTTGGCATATCCTCAAAGGACTCAATATCCTGCTAGAGAAATATACGCTCTGCCTTGTTTATTGCTGCTCTTTCCACAGTAGCTAGGAAATTTAAACAACTCAAATCCCCCTCAACCAATGAATGGATAATGTAAATGTGATACATTTACACAGTAGAGTTGTACTCATCTGTAAAGAAAAATAAAATCATGAAATATGCAGGTAAATGAGTGGATTTAGACACTGTGAGATGGAGTGAGGTAACACACGGTCAGTGAAACAACTCACACATGTTCTGTCTCCTTTGTGGATCCTAGCTTCAAATTCTTAGGTTCAAGTGTGCCTCTCACCACTCATCAAAGAAGCTTCTTTTCACAGCAGAAGGAGACAACTACAAATTCCACAACTGTACAAACACAGAGAATTAGGGACTGGAGAGATGGCGCAGCAGTTAAGAGCACTGGCTGCTCTTGCACAGGACCCAGGTTCAGTCCCAGAACCCACATGGAAGCTAACAATTATTCCTAACTCAAGTTCCAGGGGATCTGATGGCCTCTTCTGACTTCCACAGGCATTTCAGGACATGGATGCACTTACATATGTGAAGACAATACATGCATACACATAAAATAAATAAAATTTTAAAACACAAACCATAGAGAGTGACTATGCGGTACCAAGTCCTAAGTTATAGGTCTACAATGCAAGCTTTCCACCTAAGGCTCAGGGAACTTCAGGGAAGTGGGAGAGAAAATTGACAGAACTAGAGGGACAAGTCACCGCTGCTAGTTGGTGCCTGCTAGACATGACAGGGAACCTGCACCAGTTCTACCTCCGTAGAATAGTGGTAGAACAAGTTCTGCACAGCGACAAAACCAGCTGAAACACCAGCATGGCTGGGGGAAGCTTCATGACGTCCCAGGTCTAGAGGAATAATGACAGGCAACCAAGGGATGTTGGGAAAGGGAGAACCAGTTTCCTCCAGGGACAAGTTCTATAAGAGGTTATCTAATCCCAAGTAGGCTGCTCTAAACTTCTAAATAGCAGTATATACACATGACACTAACTTGACACAGTACAATACACATGTATGTCCAGGCCATGGAAGGACTTGGAGATCAGATGCTGCAGGTGGAAATAATACAAACACTATACTCAAGTATGAAATTCACAAAAACAAAATTACTAGAAAAACTTACTGGATCTAGGCATGTTACATGGAGTGTACACTCTGGGCCACGACTCACCACTGAGATTGAAAATATCACAATGCTCATACTGCATGCTGTCACTATGCAATCAATATACACCTCCTATGAATCTCATTATTTTTGACAGGTCTGTAGAAGGGTCACAGCATAATTTCAAACTTTCAAAGACCCAGAAAACATTTGTTTATGATCCCAAATATCACAGGTGGATGAATGCTCCCTGATCTCCAGTACTTTCTGGAACTCAGTAAGTTTAGGTCTTTAGGCTAGATTGCATTTTCTGGAAAACCAACTTTCCTGTTTTACAATAAAGAATATTTTAGCTGTCCACACAGTTGGAACATCGAGAAAGTAAGTAACTGGCTTGATTATTGGCTTAACATCTTAACATGTCAATAATATGATATTGTAGACAAATGATTTTAAAATGTTGAATTTAGAACCAGCTAACAGCAGCTTTTTAAAGATGGATTTTTCAAAGAAAGAATCCCTTTTCTCTCATGAGACAATGGATATGATAAAAGGCTCAGCAATGAGTGGAGGGATTCTGGCCTTCACAGCGCAGAATCTGTAATACTAGACAGTTCAGGATAAACTGAGGAGACACTCCTTATATAAGGGAAAATGTTCCAGAACCCTGTGGATGAATAAAAACCACAGCTAGTAAAGAAAACAATATGCCTTACAATTTTTTCAATACATGCCTACATAAGAGATTATAAACTAGGCAAGAAAGGGCTTATCACTAGAAATTGGTAAGAAAACATAAGAATGAAAATAATATATAAAAACAAAATTTCTGTGACTGTCATATAATTCTTGAATTTTCCATGCAACAGGTGTTGCCCATTGGTAACTTTAACCAATCACAGAACTGTGAAGGGGACTGGTGTTGTACCCTTCCCTGTGTTCCCTGTCCCTAGGTTAAGGACCTGGATAGGTGCCAGTGAGTTCCCATAGCAGATCAGCCAATTAAATCCCACACACCACCATAAGTGAGTTGTGTCGTTTTACCCTCTCCCAATACCACCTCTATCCCCTCTGCTCTGCAGCATTCTTGAAAGCAACCTCTTTGCAACTAGGGCGCCTGTGGACAATCAGCACTTTAGCAGGCACTCTAGGCCCAGGAATGCTCTAGGAACTTTCAAAGACACAGCCCCAGAAATTCTTCAACAATTTTCCTGGTAGCTAGGGGGGGAAACACAGTTCTCATCATTTTGTCTCTTTGTCTTTCTCAGAAGTTTACTTATGTAAACACCTCTACTCATGGGGCCTATAAATGAAGCATTGGCAATTGTGTAACACTAAGGTATTTATGGCAGTGCCAGTGTCTGAGTGAGAAGAGGACTCAGAGGAATAGGGACGTACAGACCTGAGGTCTTGGGACGGAGAACCTTGAGCATTAGGCTCAGAGCATGCATGGGAGAAGATGGTGGGTAGAAGGAAAGGGGGTGTTGGATGTGCTCAAGGTGTTAAAGTGTGACACCACATTCTTCATGACTAAGGACAAAGTGAGCAAGGAATTTAGGGGATGAGAGTACAGAATCATTTCAGATAGTAACTATAGTAAATCAGAGCCACAACTAACTTAAGATCTAGGGTGTTTCACCCCATGACAGCTTTCAGACAACTGAACTGTTTCTGATAACCGTGAGGAGGTTTCACCCAAATAGAACTTTTTCTAGGACCAGTTGCAGTCTCCTGTATACATAATTTTCAGCATTTCACAGACACCTGTGACCCTTCATTACAGCTTCTAAAGTCTAACGCCAAATTCTTCCCTGGGAGACCTACACATATTCTCTCGGCTCCCAGGCCCACGAGGTCCTAATGCTGCCTTACATAACCGACACTACGTATTCTGTTTTTGTTTTTGTTTTTTGTATAAAGTTTATGATGTCCAAAAGAGAATTACTTACAAAGACATACATTTATGGGCTCTTTCCCCTTTCATCTGGGCTGAGCTGAGATCCACCACCACCAGTGCCCCACCCACATCTTGTCCCCACCTCACCAAGATGGCGGCTTTCCACGGTCCTCAGTGTCTGTCCTTAGACCCTCCCCACCATGCAATTGAAGCTGACCAATTGGGTGGGAGGGGTGACCGTCTCACTTTCTGAGTCTCTTGGAGTTCACTGCTAGTTCGCTCAGAGGACAGGCCTACCCAGCATAAAGACACTCCACTAAGACCAGTGGTAAGGCTTAGAGCCCCCAGGAGGCCCTGCTCCGGTCCTAACTGTCCCAGATTGCAGCAGAGAGAGGCTTCTTTCTGCTGCTAACTACTCTGACACTGCCTGAGCCTGCTCCGGCAGCCCGAGCCCTGGCTAATCTGAACTTAGCATCTCCTCAAGAAATTTGTCAGAAAGCATTTATCAAGACGTTTGATTTCTTGTGATTGTTTCTCATGTAAACAGCTTGTGGCGACTCATACTGGAAGCAATGCGTTGCAAACCTGTGATACTTGGAATTCCCATCTGTGTATCGTGGGATATCTCCTAAAGCGACAGAAACAAGCTGTTCCCTGTGCTGTGCCAGCCAAGGGTTTCGCTAAATATTTTTCTGTATACATGTGCTGTTTACTAGGGGTTTGAAAGGCTGAGAAGTTTGCCTGGAAAACAGAAGAAAACCTGAGCTTCTAGGCACAGCAGAAGTAGCAAGAACAACAACTTCTTTTCTCCTCCTCCTCCTCCCCTTCTCCTCCTCTTCCTCCTCCCCCCTCCGCCTCCCCTTCTCCTCCTCTTCCTCTTTCTCCTCCTCCTCCTCCCCTTCCTCCCCTCTCCTCCTCCTCTCCTTCTTCTTTATGGGGCTTTTTCCTCCTCTAACATTCCCCCCTCTAAAGAGATCACCCTAAAATCTTTTAGGGATTATATAAAAGACCTCCCAACTCCTCCTCTTCCCCTTCTCCTCCTCCTCCCCTCCTCCTCCCCCTCCTCCTCCTCTCCTTTTCCTCCTCCTCCTCCTTCCTCTCCATTAGGGGTTAACCAGTTCTCTGTAAAGGATCAAACACC